TCTCTCTCTCTCTCTCTCTCTCTCTCTCTCTCTCTCTCTCTCTCTCGTCCCCGTCGTTTTGATCCGTTTCTTCCACCACTGACTCCTGAGGTGCCAAACGGAGAGGACTCTCTTTTTTCATTTTCAGTTTCTGTTCTAGAGCATCACAAGAAAATACATGAACAACATCCACCCCCCCTTAAAGACTGGAATGTGGGTTGAGAACAAAATAAAGAAATGGGACAAAGAAACTCAACAAGGTGTCTCCCTCCCCTTCACCCCCACACGCCTGCCCCATGAGCCACTGAAACAGGAGAGTGACTAAAACCAAGACCACAGGAAGCCTTAACAACGACTAACCCTTAAGAGCTGACCTTCTTGACCTCACGTGGTCCGGCGGGGAGAGGCCCTGACTCCAGCTCGGGCTGGACGCCACCTTTCTGTCGCATCTACCTCAGAGCAGACAGGAGACTCCGGCAGCCAGCATCCTCTCCGGCAGGACGTGAGCGACGAGTACGACGAGCATTCAACGGTTTCAAAAAAATAAAGAAAAACAATATCGAGAAGGAAGAAAAACCGGTAAACGCATTGAGAAAGGGATCAACTCGGAGCCAATATTCCTGAAACTCTGGCAGCTAGCCTCTCACGATACTGACTTTCCTCTGATCGCAGCTGTACGTAGATATGCAGTATTTTGATGTTCAGATGTGGAGCATAGGAGTTTTTTTTGTTCACATGTATTTTCACTTAGATAACTAATAATTTAATTAAAAGGAAGCGTACAAAATAATGAGGTCGGTGACATTTCGGTAACTAAGTTGGAGAAATCTCACTTCATTTATTTTTCTTATGTGGACTTCCTTTCTTTCTGTTCGGTGAAACAGTGTGATAGTTTTTTCCGTAATATTCGTCTCCCCCCCCTCCCTCGTTCTGACATATCCATATGAAATTTGCTTAGTTATACCTTCATATTTTAATACTTGCACAGATAACCGATATAAGCATATGAAATCTCCATGTGTAGTTCCAGATGTTGACCTTGCATGTGTCCGACAGCAGAGTTGTTAACTGTAAATTGAACAGAGGAAAGAAAAAAAAAAAAGACCCGCTTTGTCCAAACCAGACCTGCACTTGATTAAATGTTTGTGTTTTCATTATTATTTTTTTGTTTCCTTCCCCACCTCTCCTCCTCTTCTTCCTCCTCTTCGTCCCTCCCGGCTGTGTTGACGTTGTGGTGTTGGCAGACCCCCCCCCCCTTTCACCACCACCACCTTTTGCTTGATTATTTTACTCTGTTCCGGCGACCTGACGAGTCTGTTTTCTGATTGTACACGTTCCAAACAATAGTAAAGGAAAAAAAAATTTGATGTTTGTTCTGCTTCAGTGGAGAAATGCTTTTTTTTTTAAAATAAATTAATTTAAAGCCCCCTTTTTTCTTTTCCTGTATCTTTTGCTTCAGTGTCAGAGTGGTGTTGGAGTTTGTGACGCTGGTTGTAGTTCCTCTCGTCTCCACGGGGGGGCAGTATAGGAAGGTTTATCAGGCTGTCGGATGGTAAGAAGAGCAGCAGCTTTAACACAAGATGTCTGCATCCTAAAACACATGAACAGTCACGTAAAGCTCCCTGCTTTAATACTCTGAATTAGTTTTACCCACATCAATTCAAAAGCATTGGAAAAATAAAAGTTTTCAGTTTATCTTGAGAGGGAATGTCATCACACAATAACCACAAAAATAGCAAAGAATCACAGTTGCACAACTGTAAAGAACCTTTAGTCTAAATGTTTATCTTTGCAGATGAAAGTACAGTGAATGGTTTTACGACCTGGCTCAAGTGGCACCGTGATCAATGCAACAAATGATTAACTTCAGTAATGTGAGTGTGAGGTGTGGTGAAGGGTCATAAGATCAAAGTAAGGAGCTGAAGCTACCGGAGCAGAGCTGCAGCAGGGAACAAACAAACTGAAGTTCATTGTATTCTAGGAGGAGGAAAAGCGAAATAAGAAACAAGATATTAAAGAGGATAACGAGTACAAACAACAAAGTCTCAAGTCATAAAATCAAGATGAAAGTAATAAGTTGGTTTTAAGAAGCTTTTGAAAGATGTGCCGTAATTATTGAGTTATTTGAGACTTTGAGGATCTTAAATATGGATCAAAATCATGTGTAGGAAAACAAGGATACAGTAAGTACAAAGAATGAGTCAGCGCAGCCTGTTTAAGCTCTGCGTGTTTCTCAGAATTCACCTCGTGTGTTTGGGGATAAACCGACGCCCACAACAGTGAAACAATTATCCAGCTTTCACCCCCGCTGAGGTCCAACATTCCTGCTTTGTGTTGGAGGAGCTAAATAAAGCTGCAGCGCCTGTGCTGTTTCCTCAGAAGATTCACTTAAAGCAGCAACAAATCAGCTACTTAACTACGTTCATGATTCAGAGTTATTCTCTAATATCCTGTTAATATCTCTGTGTGCCTTAATGTTCACCTCTGAAACAACGCGAGAATCGCATGAAGCAGCGTTTAACATCATTTTACAATCAGCATATAAACTATAAAGATGTGCGCAAACATTAGCTAATTAATATTAATACATTCCACAGCAGCGCTGATGGAGAAAGCGGCCTCGGATGTTAATCAGCTGCAGGTTTGTTAGTTAATTAAAGATCCCAGTGGGGAAACTGAGCAGAAGAGAGACGTCTACAACACCTCGTCACGGATGAAAACACATGTAGTGGTCTGCTGGGAATAACTCGACATATATAAACATAAAGCGTCTTCTGCTGATGGATGAACGGGCTGGAACACACCTTCCTGTTTACACTCTCAGCTACACCGATGGAGCGTGTGTGTTGAGCATAACTCATTTACATTATGAGATATCATGCTATCATGCTTTCAGTGATTATGTTCAGTATGTATCAAAAACACAAGTTCCGAGTCAAGACTTAAAGTCACGAGTCGAGTTCCGAGTCAAGACTTAAAGTCTCG